GGATCAGGGTGCTTTGTCCTTTCTGTGGGACCGGTACCAAATCTGTCGGTTTGTTTGAGCCCACGTTGTAAGAAGAAGAATGTGCTGGTAATGTCTAGATCACTCCAGCAGCGTACAACACCATCTTTATACTCACCCCACAGCTCAGGCCACTGTACCGATTCAGACATCCGAGAATCGCACACCCTATGACTCCAAGGACCAACATGACTTTGCCGTCCCAGTGCTGACTGTTTCGGTAATTGACCTGAAAGGCGTGGGAGGCTTGTTTCAGCGGCTTTGCTTGTCGAAAACATGACCATACGCCTGAGAGGCGCAATGTGGAGACAGTTTGACGCCAGCATTGCGCCAGATGGGTCCAATGGGAGACTTGCGCTGAAGCCACTTTCTCCCGGAATACGCTAGTGCATGTGGACTTCCCGACGGGTAGCAAAGAATGCGCGGTGCGAGTGTTGTACTCCTGAGGCACGGGTGTAAAAGGCTAGTCGTACGAGAGCCAGGTCACATCGACATATGCCAACGACGCCGCAGGATCGCGGCGTACGTTTTTGAAGCTCTTGTTGGTATTCTGTCTTGCATGATGTGCAGGTTGGCTTGCGTGAAGAGCGGAGGAGGGTCATTTGGGTGTAGGGCGTGCGTCTTGTGCACAGGCGCGATCCAATAGCTGGAAAGTGGGGTTGGCGCGTCCTAGTGACGAACGCGCGCGCCCTGTACATGTCAATCGTCGGTGGCCGAAGCCGCTGTATGAATGCGATGCACGTTGAGCCTTGCGATCTCAGCAACTCGACCGTGCTTGGGGTAGAGAGTGTGGCCCACGTCAATTGCGCAACGTTGACAACAGCCTTATTGCGGCACAAAAACACATCAAGCGGCACAGAAGCATACGTGGGAACGTCAGCGATGAATAACATGATTTTGGACTATCGAACACCTGATTTGATGTCTAGGGCTTAACAACTGTCTGCCACGGAAGTGTATTATCGAAGAAAAAGGTTGCTTTTGGCTGTGCCGCAAGGCCTTCGCCCGTCATGTTGCACAGCTTGGTCACGTCACCGGCCTCTGCACGCTTCGCCTTGATGATATCTTGGTACTGAGACAGGGGGCAAGATGAGCCAGGACCACTGGTGCAGTCCACAACAGGGTAGACAACCTCGTTAATGCGGATGCGCACGAAAGTTTCTTGAGAGGCGGTGCCGTTGTAGTTGGTTGCATAGCCAGAGCCGTATGTGCTATTGTGGGCAGCAGCAGGACAAGAGAGGCGTTCGAATGCAACAGTTCCGCGCATCTTCACGACCTGAGAGGAGCGGAAGAGTCGGTCCGACAACGACATGTTACCAGGAAGCTGCTGTTGGTTGTCGAAAACACCGATCGCAGCGGCCAGCTGGTTGATTTGGCCATCATTTGCGAAATTGGCCATGATCTTTGGAGGGACAAAAGTGCCATTGCCCGTCTTGTAGGTCGCGTCTGGACCATCAATAAAGCGTTGCACAGTCATGTCAACGATAGGCAACATCTGGTATTTCTCGATATCGGATCCCAGGCCGGTGCCGTACCAATAACGCAAATCCTGCGCATACTCGTACTGCAAGATCTCTTCCTGTGTGAAGATATCGCAAAAGGGGCTTCGACGGCCGGTGATCTGGGTCTCGAATCCACACAAGTAGGGTATCTGGTCGACTTGGCTCGTTGTGAGGTTCAGGCCTTGGATCTTCCCGTTGAGCCTGGCGGCAATCGGGGGAAGGTACATAGAGTCCCACGTCTCCTTGGCAGGACCTCCACCCGCGTCATCGTAGGCCTTGCACAGGTCGCTGGGAGCAAGAGTGTTGCCCCAACTGGCAGGGTCGCTCGCGTTGAGAGCATAGATTGTAGTGAGGTCTGTAGCGTTGGGCCCCACGAAACCTTGAGCGAACAGGCGTGCGCTGTCCCGAACGCGTGGACCAGACGTATAGTAGTTTGCCCACATAGTAAAAGCGGTGTTGTACTTGTACAGGTCGGGGTAACGAAGGCGCCACGTTGTGCCCATCTCGTGTAGTTCTTTCCAGCCGGTCGGGCTCAGATTAGCGATTTGAGCGTCCGGGTCTGAGAGGACCGGCTTCCAGGATTTGAGGAACGCGAGTTTCTCGTCGGTGATGGTGATGTCTCCGGCAGCTTGGATGTAATTGGCAAATTCAACCCACCCATTGTAGGCGCCACTATAAAGGTAAAGAGACAAAGTCAGCCTATGCCTCATATACAGCGCGTGCAGTAGTTACCGGTCTGGGAACCGCGAACCGTGACGGGAGAAGAAAGCTACGTGTTCTTAGTCTGGCATTCTTCAATCGCGGAATCAAGCTGCCCTACCTGCCAGATCGACCTTGCATCCTGTAGGTATATCGGACGAAATGCCCGTCACCTCTTCGCCGGGGAACCATTGTCCGTTGCCGCCAATATGCTGGAAGACATTGAAGTTGTCTTGGGCTGCAACAGCAGCACTGCTAGCGGCGAGAGAAAGAGCAAGAAGCTTCATGATTACCGTTAAGAAATGAGAGACGCTCCGAAGTGCAGATAGGAATAGAGCGCACGCCTATCATCTTTATACCCGACATGTTGATTGATCGTGGTGTTGTCAAGTTCAGCACCTGCTTTAGCCTCGGAGATGAGTTCTGGCGATGCTTCCTAAGGCGGTAAGGATGCTCAGGAACCAGCTGCACGTGGGAGCATCGACGGCGTGGGTGGTCTCTTCGCATGGAGGCGCGGTCTGCCACAGCGGCCAAGGAACTCCATTGTAGGATGCAATCCTTCGCGCATGCGAAATACGATGGTTTCGACCCGAGCTTCGCGTGAATTGCGGTTGACGTAGGTTGATAGCAGTGGATGACCATGCATCTGTCGCCCTTCGGAGGTGCATGCTCCGATTAGTCACGCCTTATCGATACCGCACCCGCGATCGCGGCATCTGACTGACTCAATCTTCAGCTATCTTTGCCAATAACACACCCGCAACGATGCACGTCTCCATGTCCCCTCGGTGACTATCCGAATCAAGCTCCTCTCAGCACTTCTATCCATCAGATCATGGCTGAATCCAAGCCGCGTCAACGCAAATTCGCGCCAAGGTCACGGACGGGCTGCCTTACATGCCGAACCCGGCGGAAGAGGTGCGATAGCGCCCAGCCTCAGTGTGCGAACTGCAAGCGCCTCAACCTGTTATGCGAATGGCAAACTCCACGAAGTATCGTTTCGGAATCGTCTTCGTCCCAGTCAAGCTCAAAGAGCCCGGAGCGCCAGGTCGCAGTCCCACTGCGCTCGTCTCTTGATCCATGGGATGCACTACCGGGCGACGAAGGAGCGGAGCGGATGCATTTGTTGCAGTATTACATCGAGGCGTTTGTACCCAGTGTCCAAGTAGCACCTATTGCAACGAGTTTCTACACCAGCCTCTACATGCCTTGGTCTTTCCAGATCGAAGGCATGCTTGACGCTATCCTGGCTATATCTTCTGCTCAGTTGGCGAGGCGAAGCCAGGACGCAGAACGCGCCAAACATCTTCGCGCCGTATCCTCCCGCCACGAGAGGAAGTGCTATCAGTTCATCAAGGAGCGCTTGAACCCGTCGGGTGGATTACCAGAAGATACCTACCAGGTCACTGCGGTGATTCTCATCCTGGTAGGACTAGAAGCACTCAACGGTGTCAAGACTACGAGATGGATATCGCAACTGAAGAGTGTGCAACGGATACTTAGTGCGCTCACTCCGGAACAGAGCATCATGGACTGTGTTGAAGTTGATTCTCTGCATCGGCACTTCACTTACCACTTCGCCTCTGCTTCGCTCATGGCGCGGGTGTCAAACGCCGGAAAGGCCTGTTCGGCAGAGCAGGGCTTGATACCAATCAGCGCTGCCCTAATGCCAGGCACAATCGACCCGCTCATGGGCATCTCATACCAGCTATGCGACCTGATTTCACGGATACAGTATGTCACCTCTTCGAGTCCCGCGTTTCCCCTCGCTACCGAAGCGTCTTTCAACGTGATCGAGAAGGGTATACAGAATTGGGCTTACGACAACCCGTTTGCACTTGGCGTCGATACTCCTATAGCTCTCGACCTCATCGCCTTGGCAGAAGCCTACCGTTTAGCAGCTCTCATTCAGCTCTACCGCACCTCGCCTAGCCATTCAGCCAATATTGCGGGCTGTGCATCACGCGCGATGGAGTTTATCGCTCGTATACCACCGGGAAGCGCCGCGGAGTCAAGTTTGCTCTACCCAATATTTCTCGCTGGAGCCGAGCTAGATGATGAAGCGGCCATCGAGAAGTGCTTCCAGAGGCTAGAGGATATCCAGAATAGGAATCGGTACGAGAACGTTGAATGTGTCCAAAAGGTGTTGAAAGAAGTGTGGCGACCGAAGCTTGAAGGTGGTCAAAGAAGGGACTGGGAAGAAGTGGTAAGAGAGTGGAACTGGTCATTTACTTTGGGTTGATGCGATCCCGATGCAACTCTCCTAAGAAGCACCTTTTGCCCCGATCAAATGCTACACTCTGGCGGGATGCCATGCGTACGTACCGGCTTGGAACCTCGGACATATCCGCTGTAAAGGAGCACTCATCGGCTCACTCATGATCGATGCCTCACTCAACGGCAATCTAAAATTCGCCCGGGCCGGGTGTGTTTGGTGATGGAGTAGCTCCTTCCCCGCATGACATACTGTATCTTGGCAAACCCCGCCTCCTCCTGCAGCCCCCATCGAGATGTCGAACTTTGCCCCGATTTGCTCGCATGTGTCTCTTTGGGCAACCATGGGATTCTCAGCTGTGCCCAGCGTCACTGATTGCTTGGCCACTTTCCCCGCTTTGTAGCCTCTCGCTATCCACTTTTGTATTCTACTGCGTAGCGTCTGCGCGACGTCGATTCTTCACTCATCTACCAGGCGATTGCGTTCGACTGAGCATCATTGTCTTACGCCTACAACCTTCTACTTGCTACTCTTTGATCAACATGGCGAATACCACTACTCCAACCATGGCCACTCCGATCGACTTTAACAGTGTGCTGGATACATCCAACCTAAAAGATCGTTCGGTGCTTATCACTGGCGCAGCATCTGGCATTGGTCTAGCCTGCGCGATGAAGATGGCCGAAGCAGGCGCAATAGTCACCATGGCTGATCTACACGATACGGCTGGGGGCGTCATTCAGGGTAAGTTCTGACCATGCAAATTGCATGTGATAAACATACTAACTTGGTACTCCCACCTCTGCAGATCTAACCACTCGAGGCCTCAGGGTGCAGTTCGTACAATGCGACATGACATCCTACGAAGACCAAGCCTCCATGTTTCAGTCTGCAATACACTATGGAGGGCAGATTGATGTGGTGATCCCAAATGCAGGCATCCTTGCCGAGAAGAATCTCTTCGACATGGTGCCAGCCACGTTGCCAAACCCAGGAGACACACCACCACCTCCTCCAAGCTTTGCTTGCGTGTCCGTCAACCTTCAGGCAGTATACAATACCTGCTATCTGGCACTGCATCACTTCCGCCTCCCGCGCACAGCAGCAACAAGTTTCAAGCCCAGCATCGTTCTCATCGCCTCGCTTGCAGCCTACATTGGATACCCATATAGCACTACATACAGCATGTCCAAGTTCGGTGTTCGAGGACTTCTGTACAGCCTGCGCGAGCGCGCCATGCACTCTTCGATCCGCATCAATCTTGTTGCACCCTGGTACGTGGATACCGGCATCGCCAAGCAAGCCGACTTTGTAGAGGACAACGGCGCTGTTCTTCACATCATAGGATTCGTATCCATGGACAGAGTCGTGGATGCTGTGGTGAGGTTTGCTTCGGTTCAAGAGTTGTGTGGAAGAAGCGTAGGCATCTTCCCCAAGGGCAGCGAAGATCTTCTCGATGATCTGGAAGGTGGATACGGCGGTGCGATAGTGAGTAAACATATGCGCGAGGTTCAAGCAGTCGTTGTGCAGGAGATGCAGAAACAGATGTAAACGTAGTTCATTGCCCAGTAGACCCGATATGAGAAACATCTTCGCGATATCGGCTTTGTCAATCACGACTGTCGACATCACATACTGGTTTGATGTTGATGTCAACCAGAGTCACGCTGATACTCATCCCACAATCTTTGATCGCATGGCCGTGTGGAGAATAGTACGATGTTACCACTGCCATGTGGGCCCGCGTTTGTACAAGCCATCGTACATGATGTACAATGCCTTGCCACCCAACGTAGACATTTTCACCGCCAGTACTAGATGTGTTTGTGCTTAGCCTTGGTTCACGCACGTAGCCATATGCCTGAGAAGCTTCAGAGAAGCTAGCTTCGGGACGCCGGAAGGGGCTTTTGTGAACGGATGCAACATCGCATCCCTCAGGATAGGCGAGGCCCACCAAGCGATCAACGCGGACCTGTCCATAAAGTTTTGTCGGATCTGTCCGCCTCAACCGTCCGTAGTCTTTCGCCCGCCGGTATGTTGTTGCGCCGTTTGCGATGAAAGCCCTGGGGCGTGTGAGAAATGCTCAAGTATATCTATGCGAAGAGAATGCCACATCGAACAAAACAACAGCATCAAACATGCCAGACACCCAGGAACCCCAAATGAAACGAGAACCACGAACCGGTATCGACATTCTCGTCGTGGGAGGCGGCATCGGCGGACTCACCTTTGCAATCGAGGCCCACCGCAAAGGCCACGATGTGCGCGTTCTTGAACGGAATGACGAAGGTCAATACTCGGGTATGTACCTCCCCATCCAACTATCGACCTCGAAATGAACCAAACCAACAAACCGACAGGTGAGATCATCATGATCACCAGCTCAGCGCTCGAAACGCCCAAGAAATGGCCAGGATTCTTAGAACGCCTCAGGGCCCTCGCATCGCCACCAACCTTTGACCTGCGCAAATACGACGGCACATTCATCCAACACCATGCTCCTGGCGACTCTGCAAATCCGTCTTTGAGCATCTACCGAAAGAGGCTGCATAGTTTGCTGAATACCTACGTCAAAGAGCTCGGTATACCCATCACGTACGACGCGAAAGTGGATTCATACTTCGATTCAACCACATCAGGCGGTGTTGTCCTCAAAAGCGGTCAGAAGATAACTGCAGATGTGGTGGTAGCCGCAGATGGTGTAGGCTCTAGGTCCCGCGAGATCATCGACGGGAATAGAGAGAAGCCGATTAGTTCTGGCTTTGTTGTTTACAGGACTTCTTTTCCTACTGGGCCGGCGATGGACGAGTATCCCCTTGTTGCGAGGGAGTTTCTGGGGCACGATCACCGTGGTTTCATGTATATTGGTCCCGGCGCGCATATGGTTATTTCTCATGATAATGGCGAGCTGTGCTATCTATTGACTTGCAAGGTTTGTAGTCGCTGCATCATTGGCCTTCCTTGTTGATCGTTGCTAACTTCTATTAGGATGAGAACGGTACGGCAACGGAGAGCTGGTCAAAAACCACTTCCACGCATAGGATTCTGGATGTTGTAAAAGATTGGGATCCTTTTGTTACGGAGGTGATCAAGGCGACACCGAACAATCAGGTGCTCGACTGGAAGCTGATGTGGCGTGATCCACAGCCGCAGTGGGTGTCGAAAGGCGGCCATGTCGTGCAGCTGGGCGATGCTGCCCATCCCTTCTTGCCTACGTCGTTCAGTGGCGGCACGATGGCCATGGAAGACGCGTACTCGCTAGCAGCCTGTCTACATGTTGCCGGGAAGCAGCACGTTGCGCTTGCAACCAAGGTGCACAATAAGCTGAGGTATGCCGATATAGATCGTGGAGAAACACCAGCGACTAACTTCGAAATTGTAGGTTTGAGCGAGTATCCTGCGCGCAGAAACTAGGATTCAAGAATCGTGAGATCTTTCACAACACCGACTGGAAAGACGAAAAGGCGGCGCCGACAAAGCAGCACAAGATGGTCGGAGATTGGTTGGTCTGTCACAACCCCGAGAAGTATGTTTACGAAAACTACCAGAAGTGTGCTGAGCATTTGGACACGGGTGTCGAGTTCTTGAACACGAACATACCGCCGGGATACAAGTACAGACCGTGGACCGTCCGCGGGCTGCTGGGGGCCTCGGAACGTGGCGAAGTGGTTGGGGATGAAGGCGACTGGTCCTAAAAGAAGGGAAGCTTGCAAAATGCAGCGTTATCACTGTAACTGCTTCAGCTTATCAATTGGCCATGCTGGCAACATCTCTTCTCGATGTATATATATGGGCATCCGGCGGCAACTGTTGATGCTGATTAGAACTGTCGAACTTCATGCTTCTCTCTGATGTGTCCTGCCCCCGCTCCCTGTGGCTTACTGTCCCGTCGCTCGTATCCGCCGAACTTATAGCATGCCAGTATGCCTGGCTATTGCTTGCCATTGTATAGGCATGTAGCATGCCAGATGCCAACTTGTCATATCTTCTTAATGGTTAAGCTCGCCATTTTGTCCAACTGCTGCCTCCGAGTCGTGGAACAGCCAAGCCGCAATTACATCTATCATAACGCTCGAAGGATACGCGCACATCGCTTCCTACAACGATGCCGGCACCTTGGTTGTGGACGAGTGCGGTCGGGTTCCGTTCGAGGAGCGTGGCATCGTGCGCGCGTGTAGGAGGTGCTTTGAGAGCGAGAACTGTGGCAAATTCGCTTGAAAAGGCTCCAGCCTACCCGGTGGTGCCAGTTTATGCCTATGATGCGAAACGCGCGTGGGTTCTGGAGCGTACGATGATGACGTTGAGCTTCTCATGGCGACATTAGGGAAGGCTCGCGATTGCGTGCTGTCGTGTTACAATACGCATGTCTTTAGCCAATATACCAACCACCTGTTGTATTGAAAGAAGGCAAGTTAGGCATGATAAAGCCTCATTCGCGCAATCATCGCGTGGATTAGGAGTGTTGGTGGATGAAGGTCCGATGACAAGCTCAACGTCGCTGAAAGCCGAGGGATGTCGGAACGCTGCTCGGAACGGCTTGGCCCGACTTGCCCTCCCATTCATCTAAGCTGCACTCCAACGGCAAGAATCTTAGTAAGACTCGGACATTTCCCATATCAACCATGTATTTCCAAGCTTCTGACCCAGGCCTGAAGTATTCGCGATATTGGGAAACTTCACCGTCGCGGCACTGAAGCATGACGGCCGATCGCGGAGCTCGAGGCCTTGTCGCTGTAAGTCAATCTCCATCATCCCCAGCGCAACGAAACTGACTGGGTACCTAGATAACAGGCGCAAACGGAACAATAGGCTATGCCTGCGTGGTCTACGCGCTGCAAACTGGCTATCGAGTCCGGTGCATCGTGCGCCGCGCCTCCGCCATCGAAACGATCAAAACCGGGCCCTCTGTGCAGCCCTACCTCGACCTAATCGAATACGTCGCCGTGCCAGACAATGCGGTCAAGGGAGCATACGATGAAGCTGTTGCGGGTGTCGACTATGTTGTGCACATAGCAGGAGCATGGCCGATGCTCCATCTGGATCCTGACAACGACATCTACCATCCATACATCAGGTCGACGAGGGGCTTGATAGAAGCAGGGCGCAAGTCTGGCACAGTGAAGAGGATGGTGTTTACGCAGGCGGGAGCGGGGCTTGTTGACTCTGAAGACGGCGATACACTGGGTACGCGTATGGAACGCGTCTTGCACGGTACGTCTCTTTGCTTCTGCCCTCGCGCCTCACTTCATGCATCGTACTGACCGATACAGAGGCAGTTCAGGTCTCGCAAACATCCCTCGCATACCGAACCCCTCTCAAATCCCCTCACAACGCCTACTGCTCCGCAAAAGCCCAATGTATGACCTACCTCGCTGATCTTCAAGCTTCCCATGAGCTCCCGTTCTCTATCGCGCAAATCATACCCGGTACCGTTATTGGCCCTGCGGAGTTCTGCAAAACGTCGGAGCAAGCACGTGCGCATATCGATCGACAGAGCAAGGCATTGCTGTTCGATGATATAGCCCCGCGGTATGCGTTTGGTTTCGTGCATGTGCAAGACTGCGCTCGCATTCATATTGAGGCACTAGACGGGAGGGTTAGAGACGAGGACCTGCCCAAGTGGTATGTTGCTGCTGGGACGGTGGAGGAGGGGTCAGATGGGGACAAACTCTGGAACTCTGTGGCGGACATGATCGAACGAGACTTTGCGAAGGAGGTGAAGACTGGGGCGTTCAGAGTGGGACGCCAGAAGGTGCCTATCAACATGCCATTCCGCGTCAAATCAAGCATGACGGAGAAGATGCTGATGAATGGTGACAAGATTAGGGGGTTAGAGGATAGCATGAGAGAGGTCGCGGAGTGGTACATTCAACTCAAAAGAACAGAGGAGAAAGCAGATCTGTAAACTGGGATAATGTTGGGCACGAACTGAATCCATCGAATTATCCTGATGTCATGCGCCCTACCACTTGAAGCTTTCTTCAAAGTACTCCACCCCTCTGTAACCTTTATCCAACATCTGGACACTCGCTTTCCTAGCCTGATCCGCCATCAAAGCTGGCCCACAAGCCACAATTGCCAGGCGTTGCTGGCCCGCATCTCTAGCAGCCTCTTGAACTGTTTCATGTACGTCAGGTCTGTGTGCCATGATTCTTACGCTCTTCAGGTCTTCGCCCAACACATCGTCTTTTGCCTCATCATCCCGAGTGACGTGCACTTCCATCTCGACTCTCTCATCACTCAACAAGCCTCTAAAGTCGCGGAGAACAGAAGTGAGGAACGCGTACTCGCGTACTGCCCATACAATCTTCACACTGCGTACACGTGATGTACTGGCCAGAACGTGGGCTAGGTGTGATAGCGGGACTGCGATACCCGTTCCACCGACTACAAACAAAATGCTTTGTGAACTGCGGAGAGGAACAGTGTGTCCATAAGGCCCTTCCACAAGGACACGGAGTCTTTTAGGGTGCAAGAGACAATGTGACTTCAATCGGGATGTGAAGCCGTCGTACGGTCGGACAAGGAACACCATGTTCGATGAGGCATCTGAGGCTTTAGACGAAAGGAGTGCATCCGACTCTGTGGTTGAGGCTGATGAAGTACGCGAGTGTTCCGGCCTCGCTGAAAGCGGCGATAGTGGCGTAGATGGAGGATTGTCCGTATCTCTTGAACTGTATGCCAACGTGAACGGATGGCTCTGATGTGCATAGAACAGATCATCCAACACGTGGATGTAGTAGTAAGAGCCAGGCCTTGGGGCTACTAAGCTCTTACTACTATCGACTTCCATGCGCACGAGGTTACTGCTAGGGTCATAAGTAACCCTAGCCTTGGTACTCAGCGGGCTGCGGTTGAAAGCTAAGATTCGTGAGAGGCGCATGATCCGGTCAAAGACCCAGACACCAACGCATGGCCAGATGAATATATTCCACTCGCCATTAGTGAAAATCTCAACATGGTAGTACATAGTCCAGAGGGTTGCGATCGAGAGCGCTATGTGCGTGACGAGGAAGAACTCGTAGTGCGCACGGCGGATACCGTAGAACGAGAACGCCAAAAGACCGCACATGGCGATGGTTGACAGTTCGCCGTTCCAAAAGTAGTGCTTCGTCCAGTAGTTTAGGAAAGATGGCCATCCTCCGCGCTCCAGTATCATCAGCGTGTATCCCACACTGTGCACTACGGCTTGTACTGTGGCAACCCTTGCCGCCCACCGATGGAAAGCGTTGTAGGTACCGAAACCCCATCCAGTCACCCAGATCAAAAGATCATTGCGCATACCAAAGAGCCAGACGAGTGGGAAGTTCGCGAGCGATATGATTCCCGTACGATCCGATACAAAACGGAGGAATTGCACTGACTTCTTCGGCCAATAAAGGTTGCCTTCGGTGAGACGGTAGGAGCAGCTGCAGAGAACAACGTTGAGCGCGACAAAAAGAAAGATGGTAAGCGACTGGATCCGTGGTGGGATGGTACACCAGCCGTACGGTCGAGAACAACGATCACCAAAAGCGGCAGGTGTAGTAACGTATCGCCTGAGCCATGTTCGGAGGGAAACCAAGGGACTTCGAGGTCCAGAAATCCGGCCGGATTCGACTTCTGGGACTGTTTTGTATGACATGTGCCGCTGTTCACTGCGTAGAAGTGACAGTATACGCGTCGTTACACCAACGGCCACTACTACGAGCCAGAAGTAGTACATGTACCAGCTATGGGTATTATATTAGCGAAGTCGCGCCTAACGGGATACAGGCTCGACTTACCCATACACGAGATGGATCTCGTATTCCCAGAATGCCGCTTCCTGTACGCCACATTTAGCACTCCATAGTCTTATCGGCCGTACAAGCAGGAACGTACCATGGTGGTGAAAGCTCGCCTTACAAGCTCATCACTTGGTATCACAACTTCATCAATGGTCGGAAACCTGAGTGCCTTTTCAGCTGACAGTCGCGTCACTCTAGCCTTGTCGTCAGGGGTCCATTGGTCCAGAATATCGCGAAAGGAAGGTAATGTAATGTTCGCGTGTGCTTCACACCAGGGATTCTGGTTCTCGATCCATTTTTCTGTCTGGCTGTCCTGTATGCAGAACTCGTCGAAGCACAGATACAGTGATGTGACGCGTAATTCACTTTGGCATCCTCGGATCTTGCTCGAAAGCGAAGGGTCGGTGTCGTTGAAGGTTACATAGTTGACGCCGGTCTCACATGCCAAAGGGCAGTACTTTCCCGAGTACAAAGCATGTGATGCACCTGTAAGCGTGTACAGAATGATGGAGATGGATGAAGTGCGCATGAGTGGACGCGATGAGGTACAAGATGGGGCGACGCAAGCTCGGAGTCGGAGATTGGCGGGGTCGTGAAATCTTATCAGATGTCTACGCACGGGCCCGCGCTGGCATCAGGCGCGCTTCTTTCGCGTCAGCTGGGTTGTTGCTTCGAGCTTGCAAATGGCCAGTGTCTGTGAGCACAAAGTTTACGCAGCGGCCATACTCGCTGTCTTAACCCCCTGTGGCACCACGTCATGTCTCACACCGCCTCAAAGGCGACCTTTCTCTCTTTACCTATCGAGCTCCGCCTAGAGATTGTCGCATACGCGCTGGAACAATCTGACGCGGGACTCACGAAACACCACGAGTCCAATGAGGGACGAACTTGTTCTACGATAGATGAGAGGTACAAAGCTAGTACCA